TCCTCAGTGGGGGTTCTCTGTGGGGGCCCTGACCCCACTTTTCTGCTCCAAATTGCTCCATAGATAACCTCCACAGCAGCTCCACCCCTGCAACAGGTCTCCGCCTGAGTCCCCGAACTTTTTCATACATATTCCGAAATCTAGGTGGAGGCTGCCACGCCTTCACTGCTCTCACATACTGCCGGCCTGCAAACTTAACACAACGTGAACACCACTACACCACTGAGGTTTTCAGTTTTTTTTCTTTAGAGGTACTGAAGCAGGATTGCTCCAGCCAAAGCAGCTGGGATGCAGGGAACAGTTTGCTGAGGGCAATGACACCTCAGGTCTGCCCTGCAGGACAACTCAGTTCTCCTAGGATGGGAGGGGCACTCTCCCAAACTTCTCAAATGCCCTCTGCACCTGTGATGGGTGGGGCACCCATCCAGACTTCTCAAATGTGTTTAGGGCTTTTTTCCCCATTGTCTTGGCTCTTAGCATCTGGCTGCCTCACCTCCAAGATAATGTCTAGCAAACAGTTTATCTGCTTCACGCTTGCGTTTTTCTCCTGCTCTCCACTTCTCTACTGCATGGCCAGGCTGCAAATTTTCCAACTCTTTATGCTCTGCTTCTCTTTTACATCCTGACTTTTGAATTACTTCAATCAGCTCACCTTATACTGGCCATTCATTCAGTCTCAGGCAGTTTTGAAGCATTCTCCCACATTCAAACAGCTGCATTCGCCCAGTCCCTCAAGGAGTGGCTTCCCTACCTCTGTGCACATCCGCAACCATTCTGCAGCTGCTGCCTCAGAGACAGGCCTGTAGTAATTAATGGAGACCAACTTTCCCACCTTTTCACCAAGCAAAAACATACTTGAAATTCTGCAGGGGCACCTGTCCTCGGGTCATCTGCCCATCTGCATGGGGCACTCTTTTCACGGGTTTTACGGCACCCAGCTGGCCATCAGGTTTAAGTGGCACTCTCTGAGCCTTTTGCCTTCAGACAAATGCAACATGCGTTTACTACATAGTCTCTAGAGCATGTTACACCATCCATCCTTAGGTCTCATAGCTGCAGCAGCTGAGCAGCCAGGGGCTCTCCCTGTCTCTACTGCTTTACTGTCTCCGTTTCTCATGCACAACAGGTCATGCCTGGAGACACACGGTCTCCCCAATTCACCACTGGGTTGGTCATCTTCCCTGGTGTGAGAGGCAGGAGTGGCCAGTCGCTACGTGTCATCCCCTAGGACATTTATCCGTGCTTCCAAGGACTCTGTTTTCTGCCACAAATGTCGATCAGTTTGCAGCAGAGTGAGCAGGAGCCAGGCTCCAGTCAGCAGAAAGGTGGCCACTGGGCACCACACGCTCAAGGATAGCCACATTTCCTCCCTATCCTAAGGGGTTTTGCATTGTAGTACCTGGTCTATGCTGCCTTGCAGTACAGTGTGCAGCAACCAGATCCCAGTCAATAGGAAGGTGGCCATAGGGCAGAGCATATTCACAAGTAGCCACATTTCCTCCTTCTTCCAAGGGCTTTCAGCTCCTGTACCTGCTCAGAATCCTGCCACCGACTACGCCAATTGTGGCGTAATCCTGCTGATGACGCCAATTTGTCTGGCTACCGCTAAGCTACTTTTAATGTCTTTAATTCTGTTGACACCGCCAATTATGGAGCTACTTATCCTATTTGTGACGCCAATTGTAAAGCTACTTGACCACAACTGTGCCAGTTGTGGTGCTCTTTTACCTGCTGGTAATCCTGCACCAACTGGGCTGATCGTCAAGCTAAAGCTGGGCTGGAGCCCACAGACCCCTCAAGCCCTTTCACAGACTGGGCCACAAACCCTTCACATGCCAGGCTGGGTCCTCAGACCCCTCACATGCCAGGCTAGGTCACCAGACCCCTTCATGCAGGTCTATGAGCTAGGTAACCAGCCAAAAGGTCCTTGGAGCCATAGGTTGGAAAGCATGGCTGCACAGAGTAGACACCCAAGGCAGAGGCCTGCCCGCCTGCTCCACTAAAACTCCTCTCTTCCCTTTCTCTCTCTCTCTCTGAAGAAAACAAGAATAGCAACAAAACTGAAAAGATACATTGGCGCACATGCGCACTAACTCCACCCCCACCCCCCACAGTGTTTACTGAACCACCCCTAACTGGCCCTGAGGCAAGGGGAGCCTGATTAAATTATTCTATTTTCCCAACACCATGTTTCCTCGGGAAAATGTGGCTATGTACAGACTCCTCATAGGAGTTCTGTGAGCTATTTCCACTTCATGTATGCAATACAGTTATTTAAGACATTTTCCCAACACCATGTTTCCTCGGGAAAATGTGGCTATGTACAAACTCCTCATAGGAGTTCTGTGAGCTATTTCCACTTCATGTATGCAATACAGTTATTTAAGACCTTTGCAGTTGTTAATCATAATTGATTACTAAAATATTAATTCGGCTTTATTTCAACACGATCAATAATCTCATTCTCCAGTTGTATAATATTTAAACATCCAGTGATAAGATCTGTGAAAGCAATATATATTATTCCTTGAGCGAGTAAATGTTTCTGAAAGTATAGGCCTGTTCTTGTGATCTCTTGATAGTTATTAAACATCCTAGGGTTATATTTCATTATTCACCCTTCTTTATTCATTTCTCTCCCTTTCTTCCACTTATCTTTGTGTCTTCATTCTTGCAGCTTGCATTCTGTCTTATCACTTATTTGATCTCTTTTTTAATATTGTGTTCATATTTCCTATATTCTCAAATCCTTGCACACAATTAAACCGATTTTATAATTCTTTAAACTTTTACACTCTTGATTAAGACAATTTCTCAAGAACTTATAAAGTCTGAGGGGTCTTCAAAAAGTTCATGAAAATATTCGTATTATTTTTTAATTCCCTCTTTTCCGTGTACTTTTTGAAATACCCTTGAACAGTGGTTACCTAAATGAAAACACATAAAAAAGTACAATTTTTATGACCTGTATTCAGTTCAAAATAAGTGGTACGTATTTTATTTTATAACCTGTAGGTATTTGGAGTGCAATTTTAAAAGGATTAGGTAAATGTGTGCTCAGAAATGCATATGCTTTTTAAAATAAGCAGTCATCATGTACTTGCAACTTAAGTGAAGCAATATTTAAAATTAACAAGATGGGTTTCAGTTGATTACAGTACCTTATCAATCTAGCCAAAGAATTCATAAGAACACCCAAAATTACTTGGCTGAACTTTGAAGGACACACAAAGACAACCCCAATACACACACACACACACACACACACACACCACACACACACACACACACACACATCCAGTAATGTTCACCAGTCTTCGTTGTATAGTAGCAACTCATTTGTGACAGTCAAATAACAAACAGGCCAGGTCTGTCGTATTTGCTTGTTCAGCCCACATCAAAATTGTCTCACAAATTACATTAGAAAGTTAAATCTCTACTTGTGTAGTGTTTTAAAATGCATGGGAACATTTTAAAATTAGGCATTTAAAATTGCCTTATTTTCCTCATACTTGACGATCATTAATAGTTACCTAAATATTAATGAGAAGGTTAATGATGTCACTTGCCTCTCCTAGTTATAAAGATATTGCTCCTCCATTTTTATCACTAAGGTTTATTGATACTTAGAAAAGCATAAGAAACTTGCCCAACATCACAAAAGGCCTGAAATCTAGAGATGCTAGGATTTGAGCTCAAGTCCTGTGACACTGCAGTCCTGTGCCCAACCACCATACAACAGAACCTATGTTCTTGACTCACACCGAGAGGTGAAACACTATGAAAACAATATCTTTACTCCACATTTAGAAGTGAGGTAGTTTGGGGATGGTTTATATTTTATTTAATGTATAAATAACTTGGAGTTTCTGGTTTATAAAATGGGGTTGGCCAGGGGACAATGATCTATAAGCTTCTCTGCCCAGCTACCATAAGCATGATTTAGTTTGACTTTTTCTCACTGCCAGCCGTTTCCTTATCCCTCTGCCTACCTGTCACTCATTACTGTGATAGAGACACAGGGAAGCATTATTTACATCAGACATGTCATTAGACATAAGTACATTGGCTGAGGGACTATTTGATCTTTTTGAGTAAATTCATTCAGGCTCACATTGTCTCTCTGCTTTTTCAATTTTTAATGAACTTCATCTTTTTATAGTTACTTTTCTGGAATAAATGCAAAATAACAAAAGTATGTAATGAAAAATACTAATAAAGCCATGATCATTTCAGACTGAATTTTGTAGTCTGTATTTCTAAGAAGAGATACCTAGAAAAATTGTCTGACCATGTATTTGATTTTCTTCCACCAAAGTTATATAGTCTTCATCTTCAGATTTCAGACAAGAATTTGTTTATTTGCCATCATTTAAAAATAAATTATAAAATAGTTATGCTTTTATACTATAAATTTTTTAATAAATTAAAAATTTAGAACACAATAAAAATAGCATACATAACTGCCCAACAAATTTTCCAATATTTTGTCATGTTTTCTTCCGGTCTTTTTATCTTTTCATCTGAATTCTACATACATTGTTCCTTACTATATATAACACGTTATATCCTGCTAGACATTATACCACAAATAAGTGTCATTATTATGTATCTCCATAATAATCTACAGAGTAGTTGGATAATAATATTCTTAACTCTTCATCATCCATTAAACATTTAAATTAACAGTTTTTTACTGCTGCCACTGATCTTGTGAAAAACACCTTGGGCTATATAGCTTTGGCCTGTCTCCTGGGTAGTGAATTACTTGGACAAAAACTCTGTACATTTTTTGAGTTAGTAGCCTATTTTACCACATGATTTTTCCAACGCATTGTATAGTTTAGAATGGCAGCATTGAGTGACATTTTTACAACATTGCTGCCAACATCCCTATATATATTTACATAAGAGTTTTTTCAAAATATGTTCACGATTTTAAACAGTGAAAAAGGGTACCTTCTCATGTCCTTTTTGTGCTTCCTACTTTAAAATATTAGAGTGAAGAAGGAGCCCCACAGGAAGGAATTCTGGAAGATATGCCCGTGGATCCTGACAATGAAGCTTATGAAATGCCTTCCGAGGTAAAAGTTTATACACATAAAACTCTAAAAATAAATCTTAGGAATTCCTGGGCAAAGATGGCTTCACTAGTGAATTCTTCTGAACATTTAAAGAACAAAAATACCAATTAATTCCTATTAATAACAATTAATGACTCTTACAAAAAATAGGAGAGAGAATTTCCCAACTAATTCTAGGAGACCACTGTTCCCCTAATATCAAAACCAAACAAAGGTATCAAAAGAAGAGAAAATGTATTACTGCTCCATTAAAAAGAGTGTTGTAGTGATGTGTTATTCTTCATGCATTAAAAGTCATGTTGATAATAATTCCATTTATAGAAATTGAGATTAAATTGTGTGTCTAATAAGATTTTATCAATATCTTTAGCTCTCTTTATGCAAGGCACAATGCTAAACACTACAGAAAATGCAAAGAAGAGTAATTGATAGTACCAGGATACAAGGAATTTGCACACTAGTAGGTTTTATATTTAAAAAAATAAAAATTCATTTCTTCATTTATTCATCATGATTCCTTTAACAAATATTATTGACTGTGCTCTACATACCAGCCATCACAGGGGCAAAATTATACAAGACACACTGAAAGGTGTAACATTTTAAAAGACCTGCTTAGATCAATCAGAAGTTTTATTGAGGTGGTGTTGATCTGGATGGAAGAGGATAGGAGATATGATAGGTTAAAATAAAGGGAGGACATTCTAGCACAAGAGCATATCAGAAGCAAAGGTAGGTATGTCTGAAAATGCATGTAGATATGTCTGAGGAACAGTGAGGAATTACGATTCAAGCTTAGGGAAGAGAGAGATAGCAATAGATTAAGGTTGCTGAGATGGGTCAAAGACAAGTTGTAGAGCACCAGCACAACTTTGCCATTTAACTTTGTACTTTACTCAGGAAGCAGCTTGGGTTGTTGAAGGTATTCCTGATATTATTAGAGTTGTTCTTTTGGAGGACTTATCTGACTCCTTTAGTTCAGGCCATTAATATTTTTATTGTGGATGTTATCCAGATACTGTATTGGGGGCTTGGGCTTTGGAATAAAAGCAATAATGAAAGTCATGGATGAAGGTGAAATATCCAATTGGGAGAGTGAAAGGAGAGAAAATGTATCTTGCCTTTAAATGTCTTAATTTCCTTCTAAGAATTAGAGCATCGTAGTCCTGGAAGAGGCTTTATAGGCCCCTTGATTTGGTTCTCACATTTTACAGTTGAAGAAACTGAGAGTCAGGAAGGCCAGTGTGTCCTACAGAATTAGATCATGTGATTGTTAAATGGCATATCTGGAAGTAGAACTCAGATACCCTAACTCTGACTAGGACACTATCATAATTCACATTTATATCTGATAGGTAAGACAAAACTATCAAAAATAAGAGTAGGTCTGCTTGTAGCAGAATAGTTCCAGAATTGTTGTGAATTTTACTCAAAGTATCAAGCAATGTCCTATCTCATTTTCTCTATATCCTTGATTGATGATCACTTATACTAACAATGTATGTTGTCTTTTTGATTTTCCTAATGTTAGGAAGGGTATCAAGACTATGAACCTGAAGCCTAAGAAATACTTTTGCTCCCAGTTTCTTGAGATCTGCTGACAGACGTTCCATGCTGTACAAGTGCTCAGTCCCAGTGTGCCCAGTCATGACATTTTCTCAAAGTTTGCAGTGTATTTTGAAGTCTTCCATCAGCAGTGATTGATGTATCTGTACCTTCCCCCACTCAGCATTTCGGTGCTTCCCTCTCACTGAAGTGAATATATGATAGCAGGATCCTTGTGTACTGTGGATATTGTGGCTTCAAATCCAAAATGCTAAAACAAATTAAAACACCTAAGTGACTACCACTTATTTCTAAACCTTCACTATTTTTTTGTTGCTGTTGATAAGTTGTGAATGATTTATTATCATATATAATATAAGATTTGTAGGTGTCTTTTAATGATTCTGTCTAAGAATAATGATGTATTGTGAAATTTGTTAATATATACAATACTTAAAAACGTGAGCATGAAGCTATGCACCTATAAATATTAATTATGAAATTTTACTGTTTTGTGATGTGTTTTATTAACTTGTGTTTGTACATAAATGGTGAAAAAATAAAATGCTATCTCATTACAAAAATATTTTATTTTTTTCCCATCTATTTATTTATTTAATAACAAAATCATGCTTATAAACAATATCAGATGAGACCTGACACAGTGAACTTAAATATAAAGTTCTTAACAGCTGTTAAAAGAAGGAGAAATTTTAAAGGCATTAGAGGAGATGGAACATTAACCCTACACTTTGGGAATGTGCAAAGGTTTTTCTCTTTAGGGAAGATCCATTAACTCCTTATGGGTGCTGACGATGAAAAACCCTATATAAATTATTTGAAAAATTATTCAATTTATCTTTTTAATTATTCAGGAGAAAATGGCATAGTCACTTTTAAAAGTCACTAGTAGAAAGTATAATTTCAAGAAAGAATATTCTAGATGTGTTAACAGCGTACATGCAATCATGAGTAATTTGATGTATATTGGGCATTGGCAAGGAGAAAGGAGGAATGAGTGACTATAAGGATGGTCACCATAGAAACTTCCTTTTTAATCTAATTAGAAAGAGACTACTATAGAGTGTTAAGCTGCTTGTGTAATTTTACACTAGAGTGTAGTGGTAAGTCTCTTGTTTTAAGTTATGTTTAAGCCAGTAAAGGATTCATTACTGAACAGTATATTTCAAGGTGGGTTAGAGAATGGTGGTTAGGGTATGTTAAATCTACCTAGAACACCATATTTTAAAAAATAAAAAGTATTAGCATTAAAATAAAAAAATAGAGAACGGAATTAGTAGATTGACAGCAGTGATTGAGAACAGTTTAAGGTTAGAAAAGTTGTGAACATGAACTTAATGATTTACACGGGTAGAAATTCTACTCTGAAGTGTTCCTTCCCTTAACAGTTATCTGACAGTTATTTGTGAGCAGAGAATTACTTTGTACGTCCTAATAGTTTATTTTGCACCAAGCACTTAGAAAGTTTTATAAGTCACACAAGCCTTTTCAGGAAGCTGTGTCACATTCGCTCCTGAGATATTTGCCTGACAAGTGGCCTGAGGAGTAGTAGTCTGGTCCTAGGTTTATTTCACAGGTGTACATTCCCCCAAGTCTAAGCTATTCAGCCTCCCTAAGGAGATTCAGAACAACAGTTCGTGGTGGGCTTTGGCACATAGTTGGCAGCAGAACAGGCTAATGCGTGGCCTGGCATTCCAAGCTGGATCTTTTAAAAAATCTTTCCACCAGCATGAGATGCAAATATATTTCCTCATCCTTCTGGCTCATCCAGTAAGTAGCTATTTGTGACATAATAAAAAAATATATATATTTGGTTTTGGCCTCCAGTTTCTGGCAAAGAGTTCCTAAAACTCTTGTAATCTCCTAAGCAATAGGGGTGCTAGGGTCATATTTTATTCTAATATTTGGTCTCTGATCCTGGGTTCATGACACAGGGCTTCTAAATCTCTTGGAATGTCCCGAGTGATAGAAGAGCTGTTCTAATGAGGTGACTCTTGGAGGGCTGCTGAATAGAGGCTGGTCTCCACAAAGGCTAAGCTGTGATATGAAGATTCAAACTTTCAGCCCTAACCTCCATCCTCCAGGGAGGGGAGGGAAGAGGAGTTGGAGACTGAGTTAACAATCAATTATACTTATAGGGGTAAAGCCTCCATAAAAATCCCTAAAAGACAGCGTTCAGAGAGCTTAGGAGTAGGTGAAAACTTGGAGGTGCTGGGACGGGGCACCGGAGAGGACATGGATGCTCTGCACCCCTCCTCATACCTTGCCCTAGGCATCTCTTCCATCTGCCTGTTCCTGAGTTATATCCTTTTATAATAGACTGGGAATCTAGAGCTTTCCTGAGTTCTGTGAGCCACTCTAGTAAATTATCACACCTGACGAGAGGGTGGTGGAAACCTCAAATGTGTAGCCAAGCCAGACGGAAGTTGTGAGTAACCTGGGAATTCACCACTTGCGATTGGCACCTTAAGTGGAGGTAGTCTTGTAGGACCAAGCTCTCACCTGTGGATCTACACTAACACCAGGGAGATAGTGTCAGATTTGAATTATAGGACACCCAACTGGTGTCTGCAGAGAACTAGAGAATTGCTTGATGTGGGAAAAAAGAACCCACATATCTGGTGTCAGAAGTGAAGCATTCTGGAAATAGTGTTGTGAGTGAGAATACAGAAGGAGAAACAATTGGTTTTTCCTTTTTACTACTGGATTACACACACACACACACACACACACACACACACACACACACACACACCCCTCAAAGACAACCATTAATTCTCACAGATAGTGAGATAGTAAATCCACACTAAGGAAGAAAAACCCGTTTTTCTAACTGCAACGTTGACAGACTGCCTCTGTCCAGCACACTAACAGCACGCTGTGCTTTCATCTGGGATGAGTTCATCCCACTTTGTTCTTTCTGCCTCAGGCAGGGCAGGAGTGCAACAGGACTCGTGTTTTCATGTGAGCTCAGTCCTGGAATTGGATACACTTTTGTAAAAAATTATTGTGTGTCAAATATAGATGATTTATCGATATTAAGTCATTTAATTGTCAAAACAACCCTGAGAGGTTTTGAGACAGTATAGGAAGAGGACTCGGCCCCTTGACTTGGCTCCTCACCCCTAGCCACAAAGAATCCAGCACATCCAGCTAAGCTATTTTCACAAACTAAGATAAGCAACTTTTTTAACGACAAACTTACTCCAGGCAGCTAGCCTGACTCCCACATGAGCACAAAGCTTCAAGGTGACGGCTACAACAACCCTCCTGGGATGGGTAGTGAGCAACACCAGCGCCATCTTGGACCTACTGAGCAGGCACAAGGATTGAAGCCCTAATTAAGCATGAGCCCATGACACAGCCAGGAAGAATAGGATGGATCACTTCCAGAGGCACAGAACCCCTTGCCCTATAAAAGACTCTGAATGGCTCCCTTCAGGGAGCTCCCTTCCATGCTGTCTCCCTCGTGCTTGAGCATAAGACCTAAAAAACCTTTGCCTGCGACATCTGTTAGTTTCTGTTGTATAGAGAGCCCAAAGGCCCTGAACAGTTTCTTTATTATTCTAATTTTATGCATGAACAAACGGAGACACCTATAGGCTAAGCAACTTTCTTAAGGCCACACAGCTAGTTAGTGGCAGAGCCAGGGGTCCTAATCAATATACCACCATAGTCTGTGCTCACAGTCCCTAGGCCACATTGTCTCTCAGAGGGAGGACATACAATTATGTAAGAGAACCTTCCAGAGGTCTCGGGAATGGAGTAGTAGCCTCAGTTTTCTAGATATAATTAGTAGAATATTTCTATTTTTCTTCAAGTGTCTATGTCTGGTATACTGATGCTTACATATATGGAGAAATATTTCTAATTCTAGGAGAAATTAGCCAACCCCTGATAGATATTTCCTTGTAATTAAACTATGCATATTCTGATGATGGAACTAAGTTATTTATTTCCAGTAGGAAAAAAAAAAGTTTGATATGATAAGAGCAGTCTACAGCAATGCAGGCAGTTTCCTTGTTGAATCATGGATACTTGGCTTCTGTCAAATGGCCAAAGAAAAATATAAATTAAGGTAAAATTAGGATTTTCAAAGATATATATTTAGTAATGGAATGACTGAATTTATAAATGAATTAAGCAGAAAGGGGCATGAATTAAGAATTTGCATTTGTAAATAATATTAGCACCTTAATATTTTATGATGAGCTTTGACTTTCTAGGTGTATTTTTTGATACAGTAATGCTATATTTTATTTGAGTAAGCCTAAAACTGAAGAACCCAAAATGTAATAGAGTAGATACAACAGTAAAACTATTTCTAAATATAATTTTAGTCTCAATATTTCTTATACAATTATCTAAGATTTCCTTTAATGTTTCTTTGCTGTTATTACAGTATCTTTAATTATTTTAAATCCTATATTGGAAGGAGTTAAACATATTCCTTAAAAATCTATAGTTTGAGCCTCTAGTAGGTTTTGCTAATATAGTTCTAAAATCAGCTAGAATTACATGGGGGATTTCCAAATATTGATCCTACAACTACAGGTTAACGTACTGGGATGGCTTCTCTTACGAACTTGATGAACATGTATCCTCAGATTCCCTCAAAGGTCAGTGACCAAAAATTCCCACTGTTTCTATGGCAACACAGCAAGATACGGTGCCTTGGAAATATGCTGCATTTTAATTAGGTTCTTCTAGGGCTTCCTAACTGTCTTTTGCAGGTAAACTAAATACCAGGTTGCCTTATATCTTGCAGTGAGATGAAAGCTAACCTGTGTCTGTAAATGTCAAAGCTAAGCTGGGCTCCAGTAAAGTCAAACCTAAACAAATATAATAGCAGTCTATGTATTTATCTTAGAAAAGAATACAATACTCTTTTTTTTAAATTTGTCAATATACAGTGTAGTTGATTTTCATGTCCCTTTACCAATTCCTCTTTCCTTCCTCCCTCTTTCCCTACCCCCCATCAACAGCATATCTGTTCACCTGTCTTAAAAAGTTCAAGGAATTGTTGTGATTGTTGTGTCTTTTTTTATCCCCCCCCCATTTACTTGTTAGTATATTTATTTGTTTATTTTTATTAGCTCTCACAAACAAGTGAGAATATGCAGTATTTCTTTCTGTGCCTAGCTTATTTCATTTAATATAATTTTCTTTAAGTCCATCCATGTTGCTGCGAATGGTAATATTTCATTTTTTTTTATAGCAAAGTAGTATTCCATTGTGCAGATATACAACATTTTCCTTATCTACTCATCTGATGATGGACATTCAGGCTGGTTCCAACTCTTGGCTATCGTGAATAGCACTGCAATAAACATGGGAGTACAGGTATTCCTTCGACATGATGATTCTTTCCATTCCTCTGGGTATATTTCCAGCAGTGGGTTAGCTGGGTCTTATGGTAGATCTATCTGTAATTGTTTGAGGAACCTCCATACCATTTTCCATAAAGGCTGCACCATTTTTCAGTCCCACCAACAGGGGGGTACCCTTTTCTCCACATCCTTACCAACATTTGTCATTCTCACTCTTTTGGATATTAGCCATCCT